ATATATATATATATATATATATGTGTGTGTGTGTGTGTGTGTTTGTGTGTGTGTGTAATTTTTAAACATGAATACATACATGAATGATGAAAAACTTGTTAGCATGTGAATTATAAGAATAATGATAATAGCTATGAAGAGTAGCATAATTATTATTTTACTTATGCCATGGCTTTATGCTTTTAAGGTTTAACTACTATTTTTTTTCCATCTTTTTATTTAGTTTATGAGACTATGAGAGTTTCAATTTCAATGTACATGGCCCGTTGTGGATGCTAGATGTTGAGCTTTTATGTTATGTATTAAACTAGTAGATTGTTGTGTATCTGATTTACTTTTATGTTATGTATTAAACTAACAGACTGTTGTGTATCTGATGTACATATTAGCTTGAAGAAAATATTTTGAATAGATTATATGCTTCCCAAAAGATAGCTGTGGATGGGTCCTAAATTGGGCCTAAAAGTGTGATTTAGTCAATGGTTTTTTGTTTTGGTTCCTTATTTTAAATTGGACACGATTGTTGTAATAGAGTGATTGTTGCAATAATAAAACCTATGAAATTTGGAAGAAGTGCCTTGTTGTTGATAGATTTTGGGATTGGTTTGAAAAACTTTAAAACATATACAATTCTTTTTTACTTTATATTTATAAAATTCAAAACCAAAAACCCTAAATTTATAGTTGATGGTCCCCACAATGTAGGATGGCCAACTTCCTTTCCACCACATCTTCCTGTCCCACATCCGTAGTGAAATCAAATGTTGGGTGTCTATCCCTTTATAAATAGAGATGTGCACCCTTTTCTTTTCCTACATGAGCCTTTCATGAACACTAGAAGTTACTCCACTTCAACTTAGGTAACATCAAGTTTATGTGTATGATGTGGCTAATATAGTTTCTTTTTAAGAAAATGTCTTCTTTATAGATGTTGAAAGGAAAAAGACATTATATTAGCCATCATGGTGCACGTAATAATACCACATTCCCAATTTGTCATATTTTAATTCAGCAGGTATTGTAAAATGAATATCCACTGAAATATAATATGCAATATTATACTTCTCTAGATTATATGCAACGATATGAAAATATGGCCATTTTTTTTCCAAATCCAAAGTGTCACCATCCAACACCCTCAACATGAATCAATATATGAAAAGAAAGATGTTAAGAGATGTCCAAGATCACAAACAAAACTGAAAAGAAAGATGTAAAGATATGCCCATGAACACAAACAAAACTGAAAAATTACTTTCCATCTATATGATAGACAACATATTTTAAGGTGCAAAAGAAACAAGAATTACAACCAAATATTACACACAGACAAGAATTGTGTTACAAAGTCAGAAAATTACTTTTGATCTATATGAAAGACAACAGATTTTAAGGGATACTTTGCAAATGAAGACGCCATTCATCAATAAATGCCATCTTATCCCGATGAATGCTTGGTAATTCATACGTTTCAAGACTTTTTATTATCTTAGTAGTCCTACCAAGAAGCTTTGCTGCAGCCTCAACACTAGCCTCCCGTTTCTCTATTGCACTTTCATGGCATTTGATTGTTATGACTCGTGGTATGTTGGTGAAGCAACCAACCAATATGTCTACAATCATGTGATTTAATAGTGTAAACAACCATTCTTCAGTGATCTCTAAGATGTCACTTTGGTAGGTAAGCATGATTGTTTGTGTAATTCGATACATTGAATTAGCAACAATCAACTTCCATGGAAGGTATTCCACCGGTTCTCCTCCATTTGTGCTTTTGCTAACTTCTCTCACAATTTCTTCTGCCTTGTGAGAAAACCATTCAAGGATCTCTCTTGATGTTTTTCCATCAAAAGCTCTTTTTTCCAAAGTGTTCTCTAACCACTTGTAGTTGTCTTCTACCTCATCCCACAATGTCAAAGCTGCCTTTTGAATGTTTACGTACTTAAGTGCATTGTTCAAGCTTTCCTCAACAATATGCGTGTAAAAGAGCCCTCCACCAACACATTTGAACAAGTTATTAGTTACGTCCTTACCAATATTTGGGAGTGAAATGGCGATGCATGTTAAGGTTACTATTGGTAAGCTCCAACTGTTGGGAATTTCAATAGAAAGTAGTGGTTGAACTTGACAAATGTCAAATTTCTCTACTCCCTCGAATCCAGTCGATTTTTCAAGAAAGTTTAAGAGATTGTTGTCTTGTTCCTTCTCAGCCTTTTGCATCACGGGATTCATGGAGTTTGAAATTCGTTTAAGTGTTCTTTCAGCAAACTCCATATTGTCTTCAAGTAACAAAACATAACTGCTAAGGTCTTCATCTGTATCATGAGTGCTAGAGGGTGGATTAAGCATCATTCCTTTCATTGACCTTAAATAATATGAACAATACATGAAAATGAGTAGAACCACAATGGGGAGGAGCCCTATAATTTTGCATGTTACCACAACCACCTTCTGAAATCCAATCCAAGCACTTAGAATAGGTTTTT